AGAACAAAATTATGGGATACAATTTTTCAATATTGTGATAAATGGGTACGCTAACTATACGGACATCCCCGACAGCCTCAGCGGTGGCCCCCACTCCAGCACACGCGGCTCACTCGAGATGTACAGGCTGTCCCGGGAGGAAACGTCGAAACTTCGAAAATAAACTCCGAAAATAAACTTTGCAAATCACCCAAGCGCTAAATGATTTACCTAGTCATTCTTGATGAAATATTCTGAAGAAACACAATTGTATGCGATTGTTTGGACACACGCCATCTCTCCCAACTCGCATTCCACGGTCCGCCACTGGCTCTGTGCAGGTATCCGGGGAGGAAACTACTAAACTTCGCAAATAAGCTCTGAAGACAATTTTAAGCGTATTTTATCTAATAAACTACTTAAATATTCCCAGTGCCAAAACCGCTATAAGTACACCAAAATTGAATTGAAAAAATGGTTTCTAGGCAAAACTTTGTATTGCAGAAGCTCTAGAAACATGTAAATTGTTTATTATTTACAAAATATAAATGAATATGTTTGTTTAGAAGGAAAAAATAGTCCAGAAATAACCAAAGCAGTCGAATTGAGAAAATTGGGTGCTTTGTTTATTTCCATATTAATTTTTTTCCGAACAAATATATTAATTTCTTTTGTACATAATAAACAATTTACATGTTTCTGGAGTGTTTCTATGGCTCTGCGATGCAAATTTTTGCATAGAAAGAATCTTTTGAAACCAACAGTTGCGTACTAATTGCGGCTTAACCATTCGGAATAACCCAGTAATTTATTAGATAAAATACGCTTAAAATTGTCTTGAGAGCTTATTTGCGAAGTTTAGTAGTTTCCTCGTCGGACATCTGTACAGAACCAGTGGTGGACGATGAATTGCGAGTTGGGAAAGATGGCGTGTGTCCAAACAATCACATACATTTGTGTTTCTTTAGAATATTTTTTCAACGATGCCAAGGTATAGCATTTAGCGCACAGGTGATTTCCAAACAATTGGATTTTCATCCTGTCTAAAACAACTTCTACTTTGTTAAAGGAAGTGCTCACGAAAATCAGTGACGTGTTTGAAATATTTGAAGGAAACAAAACATTAATTTATGAAAAATATGTATGAGTTTATCTTCTTAGCTGAGTTAAAAGGGGTGGATTCTGCCGAACGAAAAGCAAACAGCAACACGTTTCCCCCACCCAACTTCCACACGCTTCCGCACACTATCCCCACTCTTCCGCACGCTTGTATTGTTTAGGTTGCTCCGGCACCGGACGACGAATTACCAAATATTAAAAATTTGAAACAACCAATCCTGCAATATCTTACAAATAACAGCATAATGAACATTTTAAATGGCGGACTTTTCCGGACATGAGTACAACATAGTTTTCCCTTAGGAAAGAAAGTGGACTACGCTCAATGGTTGACACTTGGATTGAAAGATGACAATCAACGAATGATAAATGAATAGAAGCAAAATGATGCATTTCTATTTCAATAAAAACAAATAATCTTTCAATATTATTTTTCATATAATTATATACTCATTAAGATATTAGTGAATATTGTAATTGTTAAATGAATGTATCATTTGATTGTGTTTATCAAATACTCTGTAATTATTAAAGTCAATGAAATGAAAAAGTCCAGTTTGAAATGGAGTTGCCTAACATAACTCATTTCATACTCAACATTTTTAGAACATATAATAATATCTCAATAATATTAACTTCGATTCGGCTTCAATTAAATGAAAGATACATCAACATACTCATACGCCCAGCTTGGCCTATCAATGCAGAACGTATGCAGCCGCGCCGCGGGACATGGTTTTTAAACACGCAGCGTTTTTTAAAGCACGTCTTGTCTGTGTGTCTAATTTGCACTGGCTGTACACACCAAACGTCGCGAAATGTACGCAGAATATGCATCTCCAGCTGCCAACAACGCTAGAGCGCGACCATACGAGATTCCGGCAATATTAGATAGCTGGGCTGTGTATCACGTCTTGTGGCGTAGACACAGGCGGCGGGCGCCGTCCACTGCAATTAGTGTCCGCGGCCTTCCGTCCACCCGCCCGTTTGCGGCGTCCGGCGTCTCGATGAAAGGACGGCGTCCTCACCCCCCCCCATCCCGCCCTCAGTCCCTCGAGCGGCCGCCGGGGCTCGGTCTATGGCTTGCGTTCGTCCAGGCCGGAAGAGATACGAGGCGTTGCGTCGCGATAAGAGAAAGGTAGATGAAAAAGAAAGCGCGTTGGAACGTCCCAGCGGCGGAGAAGGTAATGTAATTAGTTGTCTCGCGGGGACGCCGTAATGAGGAAATGAGAGAGGGGTAATAGGAAAGGAAGGAATGTAATGAAGAACTCGGGTCAACTACGGTGCCGTGTAGTCGTCTAAGAAAACAAAGTGATTATAATTTAATGGGAAATTTGGATTAAAAATTTGCAGTCGTGGGTCCGAAGCACGACAAAAAAAGATGAGGGTAGGAAGGAGTCTGAAAATGACGGGAAAACGATGTTCAAATACTAGAGAAAATGAGAGAAGGCAACAATGCGACTTTGATGAGCCTTTAAGCCCCAAGAGAATCCAAGAAGTACGTTTTGCCCTTTGGCTGTGTGTAATCGTTTTTACTTGCTTCACAGTTGTTTTTTTTTGTTTCGAGTAACACTCAATAGCTTGTGTCAATATCACGAATTTGAAATTAGTATATTATTACAAGATAGATAAAGCATCCTACCTTCAAAACGATTTGAATTTTCGATATCGATTAATTCCATTTTTCCATACCAACATTAAGGACTCAAACTCTTTGAGAATCTACGTAAACCTATTCCTATATTTCAGTATTGTCGTTTGTAAAAACAACCTTCTATGTTAAGATTTAGAAATCACTCAAGAATCATCCAAAAGTTTACGAATAACTTTCAAGCATTATTTAAATAAAATGAATCACATTTGCAACATTCTTCACGTTATGCGATTCCAACTAATAATTTGCGATAACGTTGTTGCAAGTTCACAACTAAAGATTCAGTAAAATAAAATT